GAGGGGGGGTAGAAATGAAGGCCGAACACCAAGTCAACTGTTTTGCTTAACTCTTTTAGGGAACAAAAACAGGACAGAAGAACAACACAGAAGAGAAGGATGTGCAGTGGCAGTGATGGAAGGTGCCAAAAGGATGAAAGGAGCCAGAGAAACACAGCCTATCCAAGATGGCCTCTGTTCCAGTAGGAACCTTCCCCCTTTGCCATGGCAACCTCTCCATCATCCATCTCGCTCGGCAACCCGGGAAGATCCATGAGAAGCTGCCAGATGCTGCTGGTGCGTTTGACCGCAAAGCCCGCTGCCCCTTTCAGCTAAACATAAAGAAGGGATAATGCGTGTTTCCTAAAATGTGCTTTATGATAACAATTAATTGGTTCATAAACTATGTATAATAGAGATTTTAATGTATTTTATACTGTAAGAAGCACCAGGTTTTGTATTTTTAATTTTTTTCAACTTAGTTTTTTTAGTTTTTCTTTACTTTTAATTTTGTAATTGTCTTCAATTTTTTTAACCTGATCCAGTATTTTTTTACAAGTTTATTTTTGTGTATGACAAAACTTTTGCCTTCAGCCCTCCCATAAAATGACAAAAACTAATGAGGAAAAGGGAAAAAACAACAACCAATCTTCAATTATTATCAATCTTTTAAAAAGGATTTAAAAAATAAACAAGAAAAAGGAAAAATAGACACATGAAAAAATAAACAGAAAAAGTTTTTCCCCATACTTACAAAGGTGGGTTTTTCTTTTGTCCCAATTTATTTAGAGTCCCTGGGAACAAAGGACTTTGCAACAAAAATAGATTTTTTCTCTTTTTCTTAACAATCTTTAACATACAAAGATATTAAAACTATGCACTCCATTGCACTTGGCTCAATGCAAACAAAATTGGTTCTTTTAAAACCCCTAATATATATTTTGCTTTTTAAAATCCCCTCTCCCTTTTAAACAATTTTTTTTGTGTATTTTGCTGCCCATACCTGTAAGCCACCAAAATTAAAACTTCTCCATGTCACCTCTTATGGATTCATTCTCAGGGTTTACATTTACTTCTTCTTTTAGGACTCCAACAAGGTAACATGTAAATAGATGGCACGGGTATTCCACCTACCCACCCATACGCTACTGTTATTCATCTGTTACCTCTTAAAAATCCCAAATATTAAATAAGTGCATTAAGCACTGTTAGGATTTAAAGCTTCTTTTGTTCAGAATTAAATAACAGTAAATTTCTACTCCCCTAATCCTCTACCATTTTAAGTGCTGTTTCATTGGTGGTCACCCACCACTGGATTCCTGCAATTCCTACTTTTTTTCAGACCTATCCATCTCCTGTTTTTAGGGAACCCATTCTGAGCAATGCTGGGCATTAAGGTCAAGATGCTTCAAGCAACTGAGTAAAATTACTGGACTATTTAAAAGGAAAGCATTCAGTATCTTAAGTGAATGAGCTTACTAAATATATTTAAGAACCAAAGGAATGGAGCAGTATCAGTTCTTGTAGGGCTAACATATCTATTTGAGATAAAAAACGCCAGGTGGCCACTGGTCTTAGAGGCAATCTAGTGATGGTCTGGGTTTCTGCATATTAAATATGGCCACCTGAACTATTGTGATCTTCACAATATAATATTTGGAACATTTTTCTTGCTTTGTACGTTTGTGCTCAGAAATTGTCAAGCCTAATGGAAACAGAAGCTTGGATATGTTTGGGATAGTGAAGGCACAATCTTCCTCAATCTGGGAATGTTTCAAATGTTCTTATGACCAAATCAAATAAAAATCATGCAGCATTTCAAATGCTACAGCTTGAATCACGTTTAACATTAGCACATCCCCAAGCCTTATTACACGTTGGAATCCTTTCCAATGCAATCAGACTAGAAAAGCTGCTTGATGTTGATATTTTGTTAAAAAGGTAGTGAACGGTAGCTGAATAGTCCAAGGGTATCCTTTTTAAGGCCGCCAGATTAGGGACTGTATCAATGCCCGCAGATGCAAAATATTATCCACGGCTTAGTGTTCTTAAACAAATACATGCTAACTTTGGGCATTTACAAAACTGAGCAGTTTATAACCTTTCATAACTGGAACGGGGTTCTGTTCTAATTGTAACTGCTGCATCCAAATTCTGCCCATATCATTGATTGGCTCCATCTCTCACTCTATGAATATTCAGCTATAGATTAGATAATATTTTTTCTCAACATGCTGAAAGAGGGATCAACAATCATGGTATGAATTTTTATTCCAGTGTCATCTCTGGTACATTATACTTAATTTTTGAATAACATTAAGAGAACTTAATGTGAGAGGACCTGTGGTATGACAGAAGCAGCAGGTAGAATGCTAATCCTAGAATTCATGAAATTCAGGTCTTCATTGTTACTGACAGGAATAGACCTGGTTCACACCAATAACTAAAGTATCAGATGAGTGTCTCCTCTTTGTGGCAGCTCCAAAATACCACTCCATTACAATTTTCCTCACAAAGATCTCCCCCTTTGTAGAACAGCTGTCCTGCAGCTGTGCAAGGTGAAGCTCTATGAATCCTCCACAAGAGCAGGCCTTGGATAGGAGTGTCTGCTGGTGTATGTCCATCTGCATGTGTGTAGAGGACAGGGGAATTCAGAACATTTTTCTGACATGTGGATTGTAGGATAAGCGTGAGAGCTGGCAGGGGAGAGAGGCAAATCTGCAACCCTCAGATTCCTTGACCCTGTTTGTCCATTTAGGACTGGAAAATCATTGCACTTGGACAAGGGTGCAGATTCTTGGTCTCACCAGCAGGTCAGTTTTGGACTAACTCTGCTCCAGAAATCCTTGGAATGCTCCATGAATCAACTGAGCATTACTGTAGCAAGTAGTAGAACAGCTTCAGGAGATTCTCTAGATCAAATTAATTATTTGTGACACAACTTCAGGCATTGCAAGTCATATGTCTAAATACAATTGCTCTGGACTAATTGCACAGAAACCCATTCCCTGCATCACTTTCTGGCCCTTTCCAAATCAGATAATCCCTCATCCCTATCCTTGCCCCTTACTCTGATATAGAAATTCATTGCCACCCACTAAGAACCAGTGATACCTCATGCAGAGGTGAGCATAGTTAACAGGAACAATGGAGTGGAGGGTGGGAGATAAACTCCAAAGAATTTGGCGAAGCTCCTGTCCCAAAAACTCAGCATCTGTTAAGGAGAGGTTTCTACCACAAATGCTGGAAAAAGAAACAAGAGAGATCATCTCATGGGTGCACAACAGAAAGGGATGCTGGTTTTTCTCACAGGTTTTGCTGTAGTGTGAGACAAAGAAAGAGGAAAGTGCATGGAGCTGTGTGACTGATCTGGTGCACATGTGTGCATTTGCACATGGTATACAGATGGTAGTGTCAAACCCTCATAACTACCCATTAGGCAGCCTCCTTACTTCTAATTATATACAATTCATTTTGTTGCGTTGTGGTTTTCTGTGACTGTTAAGATCTTTGTTTTTGTTTGTTTTAACAGTAACAACAAATTATACTTAATTGCTGGTGTCACCTGTATGTAGAGGAAGCCAAAGGAAATGCAACAACTCAAAGAGTAAGAAAATGAAGTGGAAAAAAGGGATCAGCAAAAGTATCAAACCATAGTAACAACAGACACCCACAATCTCACAAGGCCGAAGCCTAGACTAGGCCGAGTACTCTGCCGAAACGTACCTGTCTGAGCTAGCTACTCTAGCCCCAATGGTCAGTTTGGAGTACAGTTGAAGTATGCCTTTTTGCTGCCTTGCTAATCTTTTTTATTATTTATAAAAGAATGAATACTGTACTATCCTAAATATTTGTCCATTTGCAATAGCAGCAAGGAGTTTCTTTTCAAAGAGAAACGCTTTCCAGTCTAATCTAACTTGTCACCATGAACTGAAGAGTGCCCATATTTCTTGTTACTATGGGGAAAGGAATTCCAGGTCATGCAGAGTAAGACTGGAATATTTTCCATGTAATCTAGACATTGTTTTTTCTGAGATGCAGGAAAAGTTCATTCAGAGCAAGGAATAACAAGGAAACACTAGATACCAAGATCAGGAGAGAAAAGATTAGTGCTGGGGTCAATGTGTTTGCATGCATGTTTGAGGAGGGAGGGGAGGAAGAGGAATTTATTCCTTGCTCTGGAATGGAATTCAGTTGGAGCATCTGGTATTCAGGAGTGTTTCTGCTTTTGCTTTGTTTTCACTTGTAAAAATGCAATGTTAATTTGGTTAACAAGGGAACGTATGTTTGGTGGGAGAAGTAATGCTTAATCTAAAACATTTCCAGATCTGAACCACAATGGTGCACTGAATTGGCCTACTCATCAAGTGGAACTAAGATCAAATTTGATTTTGCCTGCAGCCTCCACCAATCTCTGCAGGTATTTCTTCAAAGCAATGTGGGACTCAAGCCCTGATTAAGCAAGTGCTCTTAGTTTGTTTAGTATATTCAGAAATCACCTTGGATTTAGGCTAATAAGTAGACAAATCTCTAGGGAACAATCTCCTTTTTCATACCCCAGCAAACATAATCCCTCATAAATCTTGAGACAGTTTTGGGATTGAGACTGGTAGATGTGAGTGTTATTCTTTGCCCATGATGAATGAAGTAAAATGCCTTTTTGAACAAAAAAAACAACAAAAAACCATTATTTGGGTGGCCCGTCCAGAACTATCTTATACATTATTTTAACAGAGAGTTACTTCAGTGTGAGTTGATTAGATTCCTTGAGAAGACAAGATTCTCCTATGCAAATGCAAAATCTGCTTTGGATCAGGGAGGTCCAACATGATTTTTTTTAAGCTTCTCATCTGTGTTACCCAATGTCTCTTACTTTTCTTTGAAGAGGAGCAGCTCAGTGAAGATATAGATTAAGAACTGAAGATTCTGATTCGCAGGGCTTGAGTTAAAAATCATCATCATCATCATCATCATCATCATCATCATCATCATCATCATCATCATCATTTTTCTTCATTTGAAGATCCTGTCAGAGGAACCAAGACTGGACCAGAAGAAGACACAAAGAGAGAGACAGATTTAAAACTGAGACTCCTTTCTTTTTCTTATGCCTGATATTGAAATACCCATTAAAATTCACCCCATGGGTTTTCTAGGCTCTTTGTGACTTTGTTATCTTCAGTCTCAGGGAATCTGATAGCTCCCATTATTTGTCTCTCTGTAACACCTAATCCCTGATTTCCACTCATATTGTACCACAGTACTGTGCCCATCTCCTTCTTATAACAGTTACCTAACGAAGCCTCCTGAGAGTTTCATTCAGATTTGCCATCAATAGGTTACTAAAACCAGTAGCCGGCACTGATTCTCAGATGAGTGTATCCACATGGATTACACATATAATTCCATACATCTATTTTTATTGCATGCACACTACACATTTATAGGGATCTATTTCAAACTGGGCAAAACTAGACAGCATAATAACCATACTATCATTACTAAAAATGGTAGTTCTGTCTTTAGTTTGCTTCCTTTCTTTTCTATCTTCTTTAATAAAATATATTAAGATCTTGAGATCCACAGCTTCCATACCTCATCATTAGGTGTTGCTGGCAGAGTAAAGAATTACAAACTAATGATGTCAAGAGGAATAAACTGAGCTGAGTGTGAAAGAGGATCATAGGCCACATACATTAGCAGCTTAATATCTGATTTTATCCTTCACATCCTTTCATTTAAGAAACTGAAGATAAGTTGCTGCTTACCCATTTTATTTTCCTTATGGCCCTGCAAAGGAGGCCAAGCCCTGACTGGTTGTCTCCTTACTTCTTACCTTTCCAGTCCATGCAGGGAGAGGGAAGCCTTATTGGCTGTGTGGATGGGCCTCCCAAAGCCTGCATTTTCCTTTTAGGGATTACTTCATCTTTGCTTTTGCTTTTTTCTTTTTCTTTGCTTTCCCAGATGTTTTTGCATATGGGAGCCTTTATACAACCTCACTCCATTGACATTAATACAGACTTTTCTGCTGTTACTGAACCATCTAAATGGATGGCGCAGATTCCCAGAAGAAAAGGAGAAGCACTGCAGTTTCCTTCCAACAGACCTACCTTGTAAATTAAAGATTGTTTAATTTACAAAGGAAAAAAAGAATCACTGCAGTACAGTGGGCACAGTATAGGAAAGAAAGGAGAGTATCCTCCAGCCACCCAGGGTAGAAACTGAAAGGGAGGCCGTTGTGAGATATAAGGGTGGAATTAAGGTGTACTGGCAGAAGAGACGGGGGAAACAATGGTAGCCAGGAGGCTTTATTGGACTTCATTCCTTATGGGCCATAGTTAGATCAGTTTTTTTTAAAGGAAGCTGCTGATCAGCTGAGAACAGAGCAACCCAGTGAAATGGCTATACAAGGCAGAACCAGCAGCTGGGGGAGAGGAGGGAGCATGCTAGCCACCATTATAGAGCTGGAGATTTCCCTAGACTGGAATAAAACATTGTGGACTAACCATTTGGAAGAGTTTAAGGCACCTCAGAATGGAAAACTGTATTTTTGAAGCAGAATAACAAAATTTAACTGGGAGGTACATTTTATGAAGAGGTGAATGATAGGTAATAATCTATTTTCTTCACTTCAAGAAATGGTGGGTAGCCCTTAGGGGAGCTGGGAAAAGCAGAAAGTATAAATTTGGTCTAAGTGGGAATTGAACTGTATGACTAAAGAAAATCTATTTGCTGTATCACACCAAACTTTAATTTGGGATTTTTGCCACTGCTAGCCCTTCTGCTGAAATTAGATAAGAATGTCTTCTGGTACCTCCATATCACATGATGTAAGTTTTCTCTTTCAATTTATCTTGCCTTTCATGCAATCTCTCTTGAGACTGCTACACAGGGTTGAATGCAATTGGGACTGCTCCTTCATCAGTAAGAAAATGGTAAGCGAGAATTCAGTATATTCAATAGAAACCAAAACTTTCTCAGAGGCAAGAAAGATAACAAGCTTATTTTGAACTACCAATATCTGATAATTTCTTTTATTTCAATTGAAAACACCACCTGACACCTCAACTATTGTATTGTAGCTTATAGGTCATTGCTAGCAGTTACATGTTATATAAGCATGTAAGATTTTATTTAGACATGAGGAATTCCAATCACTGCTGCTGGTGCTCACAATATTTAATCCCATCTGCCCACTTCTGTGTGGAGCAATATTGGCCATCTTGCAAAGTCTCTGTAATCCAGGTTCCTCAAAAATGGCTATGTCCTCCAGCCAAAGGGAGAATCAGCTGATGTCACAAATGGGGCTCATTATTAGAGACCATCTTCTATGTTGTTCCATTTCCTTCCCATCCTAGATCAGCAACTATCTTCTCTCTCTCTCCCCAAAAGCTGGAATAGTCCCAAGGTGACTGGGAGATAAAGAGTGTTTCCTTCTTCCAGCCTAGCCAGGGATTGGAAGAGAAGCTGACATGCTATTACATGACGTTTCTTCAGGCAGTGACAAAAATTTCTCTGGTTTCTGGACATTCAAAATTTCTTCTGATTTGAAAAGTCAAGGCAAAGACGCAGGTACTGCACAATTTGCCCTCCAATGGCAGAGGGGAATGGAGCAGAGCCACACTGTGGACACACTTGCTATCTGCAATATGGAGACAATAGTGAAGAGGCAGCAAATGAAGGAAGCAGGAAGAAGTGGTTGGATTTAAATAATTCAGATTCTCCAGAGGGAAAAAAGACAGCACTGAAAATGGCCACCAGGAGGGGCTATGTGTCCACGGCTGGGAAGATTGGACTTCTTCCATTCTCCAGCTTCCATTCTCTCTAGCTCTCTGTTCCACCTCCCTTCTGTCTCAGCTCTGCTTCTTCTTGGTACTAAACAATAGCCTGGCATCACAGAGTGAAGTTCTCTTTTCAGGATGCAATATCCTGAGGTAACAGTGCCTGTCTGAAATCCCCACAGGCCTCAACAGATTTAGTACAGCAGGTACAGGAAATGCCAATGTCACATGCTACATTTTTCAAAGCCTGATGGACAGCAGATGCTCTTTAATTACCAATCTCTCAATGGGGACTTTATTTTCTTGTCAGAGAAAATACTAGCTTCTAATTCCCTTCATAAGTCTCTCTCCCTTCTCTAAAATCAACTTTCTAAGTTCAGAAGTTCCTCTCAATACACATATTACTAGATATGGCTCTACCAAGATTGCTTTGGAAAAGAGAGAAGAAATTATGCATTTTACAAAATTTGGCACAGTTGATGAAAATCCTACAGCTAAGACATGCAGTGAAATATATCTGCCAGATCCAAACTGCAGCAGACTGTCCTGTCCACACTGAAAATACCATTCCCACTTTGCTCATGTTGGATATTGCATTCAATTTCCTGCTTTCCAAAGTTTATTTATTCAAGTAGGCATTGCTACTTTTCACAATGTTTTTAAAATTTTCTCCAGCTCTTTTTGTTCCACATGTTCTCTTCCACTCAGTCAATCCATATTTTTTTCATAAAATAAAGATGCCAATTCCTACATCCTAATAAATCCATGCCAGCCAATCAGATTCTTGACCACTGTTTATTATTAATTGCAGCCAATCAAATGAATTTTCCCCTAATATAAAGCTACCAACTTTATAGTGATGTGAATTATACGGCAACGGTCAAATTACAGAATTAGAAATAGCTACAATTACCATCACCACCACCCAACATCTTCTAGTAGTGGAGTCAGTCGTTCAAATGAGAGATTTGGAAACAATCACTCAAAACAAAAGAGCTCAATTCTCATTGACTGTTACTCCTCCCTGATTGGTTAGAATCAGAGACTATATGCCCGGGAAACCAATCAGAATGTTGTTCTTTAGTAACAGGCCACTCAGGAGTTGTCACTCCACTATGACAATATCTATTTGGCAGTGAAGAATGAATCCAGATGTCCCTTCATGTCAGAGCATCATTTAAATGCCTTGAGTTAATTTCTGTAGCTGTCTATTATAGCTGCCTACAACGTACCTAAACTGCTCTTGCCTCAAGTAAGACAGAATCAAAACAAGCTACAGGGCGTACATTCAAATCTGTGAACCTTAAATGAATGTTGGTAGGTTACTTACTGACATCTGCCTTGCAATGCACTGAGCAACACTAAGCTACATCGTCTTGCTCTACACTGCTCTTAACCAGAAGGTCCCATTTCTTTGACATATGATGCATGAATTTTTTTAGATTAAATATTCCAGGTATATTGCTAGCAGAACCACAAGCTGAGAGATAATTTTTATTGATGAATATATTACCGTCAAATTTCAGTTCATGGTCACCATGGAGCATGGTAATATAAGCTGTCACTCCCTTGCTCATTTGTGCCCCAGGAGAATAATGGACTAACGGAGTTGGAAGGGACCTTGGAGGTCTTCTGGTCCAACCACACCCAAGCAGGAGACCCTATCCCATTCTGGACAAATGGTTGTCCAATCTCTTCTTAAAAACCTCCAGTGATGGAGCACCCATTATTTCTGAAAGCAAGCTGTTCCACTGGTTTTAATTGTTCTGTTAGGAAATTTCTCCTTAGTTCTAGACAACCACTTAAAAATCAGCCAGCAGTGTGCTGCACACTGCTGGCTCATTTTTAAGTGATTGTCTCCCCAGCATTCCTAGATTCCTCTTGCCGTTGCTGCTTTTGAGCCAGGTTCCACATATTCTATACCTGTACATTTGATTTGTCTTGCGTATATGTAAAACCTTACTTTTCTCAACAATGAATTTCATTTTGTTAGATAGGGCCCAGTGTTCAAGTCTGTTGAGATTCTTCTGGATCTTGAGCTTATCTTCTGGGATGTTGGCTATTTCTGCCAGCTTGGTGTCATCTCCAAATTTCATTAGTTCATTCCCTCATCTAAATCATTTATGAAGATTTCAATATCTTCAGTGAGTACTGGACCCAAAACAGAACCTTGGATTACTTCCATGTAGATCAGAGGTCTTCAAACTCAGCCCTTTTATGACTCATGGACTTCAACTCCCAGAATTCCTCAGCCAGCGTGCTG